CAACTTAAAATAAAAGAAAAAAACAACAACAATTTGTCCCCTGTTTGTAACTTTTGCAGGGAGCTGTAACCGGGATAATTCACTTGAGTATAGGGGCTCTTTTCTTTGTTACAAATACATAACATAAGATTCACACTCATATAAACACTAGCTGTTTTTGCTAATGCTAAAACTTTGTAAGATGGTTTAAAATATGGGGTTATTCATGAAAAGTGACACAAATTAAAAATGCAATTCTAGTCAACATTTTATCTCACGCAATCCTTTTTTAATTTAACCTTCAAAATAGGCAAAACTCGCGCAGCATATAAGGAAATCAACTTAAGTCCTAAAAAGCTTACGTCCAAGTGTGTCCTAGCTAAAGAAATAAGAGTTTGGCAAAGGGTTAACAGGAGAAGTAATGATCAGTGAGCAGAAGCTTGGCTCTGTGAAGAGAAAGAGCAATAATAATGTCACGTCTTGTCTTGTCTTGAGAGTGTCGATGGAGAAGTACAGAGACAGTCAGAAGTAGCTGTTCTGTGTCTTTGTGGATTTAGACAAAGCATATGATAGGTTCCATGAGAGGAACTGTGATACTGTATGAGGAAGTCAGGAATGGTAGAGAAGTATGAGAGGGTGGTGCAGGACATACGGCATGAGCACAGTGAGATGGTGGTAGGATGTGTGATAAGAGTTACAGATGGGTTGAAGGCATCAGGAATCTGAGCCCTTTTTGTTTGAAGTACTGCTGGACAGGCTGAAAGATGAGGCCAGGCAAGAGTCTCTGTGGACTGTGATGTTTGCAAATAACATTGTGATCATAGTGAGAGCAAGTGAGCCTGGAGAGGTGGAGGTATGCAGTAAAATCAAGACCAAATACATGTGTGAGAAACTGATGGACATGCAGCGAGTCGAGATATTTGAACTCATCTGCCTTCACTACCTGTGTTCAACTATCCAAACTAACAAGAAAAAGCAGAGAAGAACAAAGTAGCAAGAGTGAAAGAGGAGATTTACAAGAGAAGGTTTAGTGAGACATGCTATGATTAATGGTTTGAATACAGTGACATTAACGAAAAGACAGGAGGCTGAGTGAAGATGCCAGGATTTTTATTGGGAGTGATCATATGGTAAATGGTAAATGGCCTGTATTTATATAGCGCTTTACTAGTCCCTAAGGACCCCAAAGCGCTTTACACATCCAGTCATCCACCCATTCACACACTGGTGATGGCAGCTACATTGTAGCCACAGCCACCCTGGGGCGCACTGACAAAGGCGAGGCTGCTGGACACTGGCGCCACCGGGCCCTCTGACCACCACCAGTAGGCAACGGGTGAAGTGTCATGCCATGTCAAGGACACAACGACCGAGACTGTCCAAGCCGGGGCTCGAACCAGCAACCTTCCGATTACAAGGCGAACTCCCAACTCTTGAGCCACGATCGCCCCCACGATCTGAATGAACAAGATTAAAAATTAGTACATCAGAAAAACAGCTGGGGCTGAGCAGTTTGGAGGCAAATGGGGAAAAGATGAGGAAAAGAGGAAACCCACCAAGGAGGCGAATCATTGTGGTGAATCCTAAAGGAATCCGTGAATCTGTAAGAAGAAGAAATTATGAGGAATTACTCACAACACATTATGCCTGACTGGTGATTTGTTGCTTGTAAAAGTGGATAGTGTGGCTAAATTTATATAATGTTTAACTAACAGTTTTGAATGTGGTCAGTCAGTTATTATTGTTGCAAACATATCGATCCCCTCTACATGACCCAATAGGACATGGTTAACACTTTTCTCAAGGTACTAACTTTACCCTGCAGGACAGCACTAGTAATGGGTGGTTACCAGGTTTAAGGCCAAACTGTTTCCAGGTAAAAACAGCAGAGGAGGGCGCCTACTAGTGATGCACAAATGATAATGGCAATTCAGTGCCATCAAAATCAGGTTACATGCTTCATTTAAATAATGGCTTTGATTTTCTTTATGTTCCCGTTATCATCATTGTTTTATTTTCTTCTTCACCCACAGCCAAAGGTCACCAACGTGTGGCTGGTGAACCTGGCGATAGCAGACCTGATCTTCTGCTTCACACGAGTTTTCTCTCTCACTAAGAAGCTCTTCTTTGACCACTGGCCTTTTGGTCTCTTCGTCTGCAAGTTCAACGGCTTCTTCAAATACGCCAACATGTTCTGCTCTGTCTTCCTGCTGGCTGTGATCAGTCTGGATCGAGTGCTCTGCATCTGGCAGCCCGTCTTCACAAAGCGTCGACGCACCATGTGGGTAGCGAGGATGGTGGCGGTCTGCGTCTGGATCGCAGCGATCCTCTTAAGCATTCCCTACTTCATCCATCGCCAAGTCTACCTGGGCAAGAATAACCTGAGTAAGTGCTCTGTGGATCCGAAGGAGAAGGCAGAAGGGTACAACAGCACCAAAGCTGCTCTCTACTCCATCCGCTTCCTGTGCGGCTTCATATTTCCCTTCATGGTGATTCTGGTCTGTTACATCTTGGCCGCTGTAGGAATCAGACGCACCCGCCTGTCAGGGAAATCCCGCCCCCTGCGTATACTAGCCTGTTTGGTGATTGCATTTTTCCTGTGCTGGGCACCTTACCACTGCCTCTTACTGGTGAAGATGGTGGACAATAAAAATGCAGTGGTGAAAATCTGGTACCCTTTAGCAAAGGGTGTTGCCTACTTTAACAGCTGTGTGAACCCATTGTTGTACTTCTGCATGGGGCTAGATGTGAGGGGGCGATTCAGGCAGAGTCTGATGGGTGTTTACAAAAGAGCTCTGGCAGACGATGTCGATGGACAGACAACTCACTCCAACGATCGCTCTTTGGATGAAACCTCGGTGTCAAAGCACAGCACTCTCATAGCGGCGGGATCAGGTCTGACAGCAACGGGTGAGGCTAAAGTTTAAGTTTTGAAGCTTGCAGAACATGTTTCAAACCTATCACAATATCATCATTATATGATACGTACACTGGTAATGAAATAAATAGAAAGTCTTCACCTATGATTGGATTGATCCACAGTGGCTCAAGTGTTCGTGTCCACCTTAACCTGGATTAGCTGGGTTGATGATAAGGACAAAATGAGTATATTAGATAAATCATCAAACTGACACCCCTCCATGATATCAAAGTACTACACGAGTAGTAGTACTATCCACACCAACCTAGGGACTAAAGAACCAGAATTAAACAGGTAAGTTTATGTGGATAAAATAATTCAAGAAAACAAAGAAAAAAATATGTTTAGATTAGACAAGAGGGCAGCATACTAATAATCGGCTAATGCTAACAAGCTCAAGCTTGTTAGCATTAGCATTAGCATTAGCTAGGGTCACACACTGACACAGAAGTCTGTCAGACAATGCTCAATGACATACAGACGTCTTGGACAGCCTGCTTGTACAGTTACTGCGCAGTTTTATTTTTCATGTTTGTTTTGTTTTTAAATGACAACAAAGAGAAAATAGTCTGCTGTTGTTTACTGATATGGAATTTTTATGTTAATAACTGCAACTTTTTTGTAACTAAAGCAATAATTAGCATCCAACCACCAAAAAAAAGGTTATTTATTTATTTTATCCATTGATTAATATCAGTAAAGTGTGAAAGTAAGATGTGAAGGATAGCGATCTAAATTATGCCAAGTAGTAGAAAGCAGTCTAATGCAGTCCACTCCTCTTTTGGTCTTTAGGTTTTTCTACAAGCATATAAGCATAATAGTTCATCTGTACCTAAACGGTTTTGAGCAGGACTTATTTGACTCCAGATGAAAAGTGTACTTAAAAAAATAAAGATGGTCACTTTGTACTTGATTTCTGCATAGTGGGCAAAAAATATTTAAACAACTAATGTTGTAATTCAAGTACTGGGACACTCTTTCTTTCACATTTTCCTTCTCAAACCGGATTTTATTTCCTGGTGGTGCATTTGAAAAATTCCACAATGTGAGCAAGTCATTTTTGAAAATATTTATTTTTAAGAAAAAGCTATTGTGTTGTAGATATATTGCAAAGCTGTTTTACATTTTATGTTGTTCAAAGTGGTTAGCACTGTGGTCTCACTCACAGGCCAGTGTGGAGTTTGCTTGTTTTTCCTGTGTTTGTGTGGGTTCTCTGGGTACTCTCGGTTCCTCCCGCAGTCCGCAGACATGCAGATAGTGGTGTTAGGTTAACCGGTGTCTCTATATTGCCCATAGATGTGAGTGTGTCAGTAGAGCCCTGGATGTCACATTTTTGAGTTGTGTTTTTGGACATGTAATTGAAGTCACAGAAGAAAAGTGGAACTGTGATGAAGCGGAGGGAAGTGAGACTATTGAAAGAAAAGCCAGTAATAGCTTTAGACTCTGTCTTGTGTATAGAGGTCATTCTGAAGGTTAGATGAATGGAAACTGTGCAGTGTACCAAGCTGCATCGTGTTGTTTTTGTTTTTGTTTTTTACCATGAGAAATGCGTCAAAAGTATTTCATCCATCCTGTGTGTATCTTACTTAAGAGGGAGAGTGGGCTGAGACTTTTATGGCAGTCAAATATTATGAACATGGAATCTGGTTAATATCAATCCATGGCAACCAGCTTATAAAACACAGCACCAGAGTATTTACTCAGCTGCTTGCACATCACTACCTCTGTTTACAATAAAACTGTTTATCTGAAACCTGCTGTTCCTTTTGTTATTAACATTTCTGCCATAAAAATATCATTAAAGCTAAACATCAGAGTAGCCGCAATGATGTGCATGAGGGATTATATTGATAAAGGTTAATTTTGAAGTGTCATTGTGTGAAGGTCTGCAATATGTCTGTGCTTTAAGAAACACGGTGTTCATTAAAAACTGAAAAAATAAAATTGCTTTTGTGTTTTATGTTTACAATAAAAAGCTCAACTACTAATTGAAATCCTTCTGACATTCAGTGTAAATCACACAGGACGTAAACGTGTTCAAGTTGTATTATATGGACGGAGATGTTTCTCTTTGACATAGAGCACCAGTTTGCTTCCTTTTACAGATTTGCCACTGAATTTACACAACCATAACCTTAACCATACTGAAGCTAACACAGACAATAACACTGACATTCAGCTTATTAACTATATTTTATACCTTTTTGTGGAGATGAACAACATCAGTGTTCTTGTCTGGGGATATGTAGGTTAAGACCAAGGTTATTATCGTTAACGAAAACTAACGAAATAACGAAAACTAGAAGTGAAAAAACATTTTCGTTAACGGAAATAAAAATAAAAACAAAAAAAGGAAAACTAACTAAAACT